CGTGGGGGCAGGTGGGGTGACCATATGGAAAACACGACTCATCATACACGACATGATGGGAGACGATTAGCTTGTTGGTGTTGAGATCAAGACAACGAAAACCGCGTTGGTTGGAGGGATAACCTAGGAAAATGCAACGGGTCAAGCGTGGGGCAAGTTTGTGCGGGGCAGTGGCGGAGATGTTGGGGTAGCACAGGAAACCAAAAACACGCAGGTGAGAGTTAGAGGGGGGTGAATTATAGAGAGTGGCATGAGGGGTGTGATTGTTCAGTGTGGTGGTGGGGAGAATGTTAAAAATGTGAGCTGTCATGTGAAGGGCCTCAACCTAGAAAGTGGGTGGTAGTTGGGCTTGGAATAGAAGGGAACGGACGGTGTTGTTTATGGTTTGTATGGGTCGCACAACCCGTCCATTTTGTTGACTCGTGTGAGGACAAGAGAAACGAAATAGGATGCCTAAAGAGTCAAAAATAGTTTTCAAAGGGGAATTTCGATATTCTGTTCCATTGTCACATTATACAGCTTTGATTGTTGTGTTGAAGTGATTTTTTACATATGCAACAAAAGCAGTTAAATGATTAAATGCATCACATTTGTGTTTTAAAGGAAAAACCCATAAATAATGATCAAAATCATCCAACAGTAACATGTAAAATTTAAAACCAGTAATACTTGGAACAGAAGATTGCCATAAATCTGTATGTAAAAGTTGAAACGGAAACATTGAAATACGACTAGAATAATAAAATGGGAGGTGCACATACTTTCTCAATTGACAAGCATGACATAAAGAATGTTGATGACTTTTAAAAAACGGAAGAGAAGAGACGCCACGGAGAACGGCCTGGCTGGGGTGGCCTAGACGCCGGTGCCAGGTCTGGAGATCGACAGCGGCGACATGGGCTCGGGCAGATGCTATTCGGCCAAGGGGGTAGAGGGGTCCCATATTATTGGATTGATGCATCACGGTTCCCGTCCGACGATCCTTCACAGAAAAACCATGAGCGTCAAATTCAACAGTACAGTTATTATCACGAGTAAGTTGGCGAACAGATATAAGGTTGTGGGTGATGTGGGGAGAAACGAGGATGTTTTTAAGGGATAGGGAAGGGGTGGTGGGGATAGTGTGGTTACCAACAGCCGTAGTGCTAACTTTGGATCCATTACCAACAGTGATATATAATGGTGAATATAAAGTTTGAGAAGAGACATGAGAAAGAGTACCTGGGTCGGAGGCGATGTGATGGGAGGCACCGGTGTCCAAGTACCAAGTGGGCTCACGAAGAGATAGGGTGTCAAAATGATGGGCGAGGGTAGTAGGGGTGAGTGTTTGGGCTTGTGGGTAGGATTGGGAAGGGGGGTACTGCTCTACGGCAGGGGGTTGGGGATATGGCAGTGGGGTGGGGGGGTTGGGTAGGCTTGCGGG